TCTTCCGATACCAGCAGCACGTCAGTATTGCACGCCAATATCTTTACCTTAAACAATCTGTTACTGGCTTAATAAAATTCATGTTTTATGACATAATTGACATGAGACTGAAGTTATAAAACCTACCAGGACATCATCCTATTTGGAACAGCGGTAAGAACGATCATTTATTGATGCAAACAGCTATTCAAAATGCTTATTAGCTACATACACTGGACAGGCAAAGTAAAATAAAGCACTGTGGGACAAGGGAGTTTGGCAACTTCAGTCTCTTCAAATACTGTGCAAGGGACAATTGCATAACTCAGTGTCTCAGGAACTTACACATCGCTTTAGTATCTATTTGCCTTTATCTACTTGCACTGCCATCCCCCACCCTGTAAAACAAAAACTTCTCTATAGGGCAACCCTAGGACCTCGTATTTAGGACCTCGCAGAAGACACCTAAGACTAATTTGTATTGCATTTCAAATTACCCTGTGCTATTCCCATGTTTTGAAGGTTGGCTGGCACATAGACTAATTCACTCGAAAGTTTACTGGAGAACATCTGCTTTGAGTCTTCTGCAATAATCCTTGCAGCCAACCCTAATAAGAGTCATAGAAAACAAATCTTATTTATTCCATGCAAGTCTCTAAGTCATTTAGACATACCCTGGAGTTCACTCCCGGTATCTCTTCCAAGTTAAGCAGTAGATGTTTTTACTGCAGTTTCAGACAAAAGCATGGGTTTCTGAACTCTGTGGAAAAGATCAAGCAGCTTAATTTATTTTTTTAATTACCACTTTAATCCTATTTTAGCTTTTATGAATCAATAGCAATTCAGTAACTACCTTCAGGGTAAGTGTTACACAGCAGTTTGAAAGGATAAGAAGTTTGCTCAGATTCGGGAAGTTTAACCTCCCTACCTACAGGGCCAGTTGGGCTTTCGAGGAGCCTCCCATCTCCAGGGAGGACAGTTTACTTCACTTCCGTGCACAATCTGCTGCTCACCTTCCCCTCCTGCAGGAGCAACTGCTCCCTGCTGCCTCCTGTTCTACAGCCCCTTTCTTAGGTGGATTTGAAAATAGTAGCTCATGCACAGATGTGTAGTTTGCTATCACTGCTGCCACGTGCTGGGGGTGGGAAGGGTCATGACTACCAGCCTGCAGGGCCGTGTTTTATATTGGACCAGCACCCAAACGCTACTATTTGGTTTGTGCTCAGAGGTGGATGAGGAGCCCCTCTCTTCCCTTATCTACCGACCAGTCAGACATAAATCAGAAAGTGAACACCAACATAACGGCTCCTCTCTCATCCCCAGGACTGCCTCCCCACGCGGGACGACAGAGCCCCGCAGGTGCTCTCACTCCACTGCTGTCTAAGAAATAAGTGTTACGGAAACATCCAATCGCAGTCATTTAAGTAAAGCAGAAATCATGCGATTGTATTAAAAAACAGGTTTTGCAGGGATGTTTGCCAAAGGTCCTTGCATGACTATACCCTGAGAGATGACCAACCAAATCTGAGTATCAAAGATGGTGTTGCTTACAGACATAGCTTACAGGCTGGGGCTGAGGGGAAAGAGCATTCCATCATAGTATGACTTTGCACCTAGGAGAAAACCTGAGAACTAGGTGTACCATTTAAGAAGAAGAAGAAAAAACCAACACCCTGCAGTGAAGCTGCTAACAAAGATTCTTTCTTATCCTACTGGATTTCTTGCTAGAAAGGTATAGAAATATAATCTAATGGGAAATTGGTGGTTCCTCTTTTTAATTGCTTACATTGAGTCCAAATAACAGCAATAAAAAGCATCTTTTGAAACTGCATCATCATCCATATGGATTACCTTAGCACTTTAAAAAGACTCCAAAAGGTGGTTAAACTTGACCTGGCCCTCAAATCCTTGAAACTTTCCCAAAACAAAATGTAATGCCACTAGCCTCCTGAAATCACAGGTTGCAATGATCAGCGCTCTGACTCCATTATAAGCATTCTGAAACGGACTTCACCGATGCATCAGAAGATACTAGCTTTGCGAGAATGCGTTTCTCATCCAACTTCAGCTTATTCCTTCAGAATATACTCTACCAGCTCAATACTTTGCTACTCTCAAAGAAAGTACTTTGTGTAGCACTTTCCCATCTGCAGTATCAAAATAATTTTATAAAAGCAAGCAAAGAAGTAGACCTACTGTGGGAGACTGAACAGATCTTTCTACCTCTGCTACAAACGAGATCTGAATCCAGATCTCTATTCCCAAGCTGATGATTTCTGTTAGCAATTAATATAAGAAATACAGCATGGTCTATCCAGAAATTCCCTAGGGCATTTGTACCATTTTTATTGTCTTCCTACAGCCATCCTCTCTCCCACTGCCCCCCGGGACAGCAACACTGTTGTTGCGTTATAAAAACGGTCGTGCGTTTACGACCACATATATCCTTAGGCAGAAAAGGGTAACTTACAACAAAGTCCTGGGGTCAAGGTCAATATTGCTGAAACAGCCAGGAAGGCAGAACCAAGCCAAACGGAGGCATGCGAACAGCACTGTCTTATGCATGATGTCCTCCACTCATGCTTACTTCATCCAAAGCAGCAGAGTGATCACTTACGTCTACACACACTGATTTCTACCGCAGACTGGTCTTTCTGATCAACAGCTGATCTTGCCCACAGCAGTGCACTTGTAGAAAAACTACTTCATTGCATAATAATCTGAAATATGGAGTAAGAGGGAAGAAAAGTTGCTATTCATAATAGGCTTTATTTAAATGCTGTAATGGAAATACAGCAGTGCAGTGTTTATTTAGCGCTTCATCTAGGAAGCACTAGATAGCAGACAGTAACAATACATATTGTGTACAGTAAACTAGAATGTCATTTATTCAAAGATCTAGACCAAGTGGGCAAAGTTAGAATTCAGGCAACAGCCTGCTGGTATTTAGATCAGTTCCCTTGCAACTGATCTATTAAGAGTTTCCCCTACCCCCAACATGACATAATGTTGTCTAAAGATAGGGTACAGGAGATACCATTCACAGAAATGACATGCCGAAAAGATGACCATGCACTACTTGGATCAAAATTATTGAAACTATTTGAAAGTCCGTTTGCTAAGTGGAGTTCAAATATTCACCAATATACAAAAGATTTCTTTTAAGCTAGAGGCCAGTTTTCTAATGATCAGTATTTAATAGGAAGATAGATCTTTAAACATGATGGAATCAATGATCTACGTATCTTAGGCTTAAAGTCATCCACTTATAGTATCTTCTATGACAGGGGAAATTCTTTGGGAGTCCGTGCTCTGAAAAATCAGAAATTGGTGCTGCAAAACAACAGCCAGAAGAAATACTCCTTGAGTACCACGAACAGTCACAAAAGTGGCTAGGCACAGCAAGCACTGACCCTTACCTTTGGGTTTAACATTTCCAGGTCTAACTTGAAGAGTTAGAACACTTTGAATAGATTTTACTTGTACTTAGGCTTTATTTAATAGTACGGTAACACTACCCAGCCCGAGCAAGATACCTTCCCACAGACTTTACAAAGCCAGGACGGTCGAGCAGGGAGTGAGGTCAGATTCCAACAATATACCACACTGTGAAGACGTTAGCTGACCTGGAACATTTCCCTGGAGCGAGACAATGGCTTAGCCCTCTTATTACCTTTTGACAGTATGTATGCACATGAGTATGGTCTAGAGAGACTGGAAAAGCCAAGAGACCAAGAGGAATTTGCCAGCAGAGAACAGTTTGCCTTGGCACTTACAAACAGCCTAGAGAGAGGAACCCATAGCAGTTGGTAAAAGTGCCACGAGTGCTGAAGCTCTTCTGCGCGCCCAACTCCGAAATCCACTCAGGAGACTCCTAACTCTGGCAGGCCTCAAGTCTGGCCTGGACATAGGAAGAGCGAACACCACCTGTCTGCAAGAAACCACCCAGCAAAAGAATCATCCATTCATGGAGTCATTTAGTAGGTAAGTAGGCTATAGGAGCAAAAACTTGATCATTTTAACAATTGGATCACTGCAAAGTCAGGACTATAGAAGTTACACAGGTTCTAAGGGACTTAAAGACTATAGCAACCCAAAGGTTGGAAGCACAGAAAGTCAAAGAACCACAGCTAATTTTCCACAGTGCAGTGTCAGCTTTAATAATTACTCCCCTCCCTTCTTGGCCATTTGTTCTACCCTCTCTTCTCCTAATTTAGCCCTCACACTGAATAAAGTATCAGATTAAATAAATGCCAGCATCAGTGGAGGAAAAACAATGGAAAGGTCTCATCTGTAGGCAGTGCTGGGTGAGAGGAAGAAAATATTTTTGCTGCTTCTAAGATGGTGGTGGGGGGAATGGAAAAGCTTCTGAGCAGCAACCAGTACTGCCTCCAGCTCCTGGTACTGCAGCAGTCTGTAGCATATCCCCTCCTGCGGGGACGGGAAAGCGGCCCCTCTACTCTCCTAAGAGCTTAACCACAAACAGAGCAAGGGATCAGATCCAGTCCACAAGCAGCCAAGTGGGTCATCTAAGATTAGATCAAACTGCTATGAAAAGATGGCACAACTCTTTGAAATACTCTTAAACTAGAAGGACACGTGACACAAATTCAAGCCAAGGAAATAGAGGGGGGGAAAAAAAAAGAGTAGGTATTGCAGACCATTACAGTTAGCCAGTTGTCGTGGTGGCAGAACAGAACACACTCAGAATGGTATCTACCACAGCGTACTACAAGCAAGATATGTTAGTCCTGTTTTTCACTCAACACCACACTGATAAGGAATGGTATAGGAATCAAATTCAGCTGGCATTCCATGTTCATCAGGAGGCGCCACAGTTCAAGAAGAATGTATACAAAGAAGAGTTCAGAGGAGAGCAGTGATAAGAGGTTTTGAAAACACAGTTAATAAGAAAAGGTTTAAGTACTCAGCTCACAACCAAGTTATGGAGGGGACACAAAGCTTGA